TTGAGAAAGTGATTTAAGTATGGTTTTTGTGTTAATATGTTATGACTTGAAAACGTGATTCTAATGAAAGCTATCATGTCGAATTGTGTAAGAAATTACATATGCCTAAGATCCTTAATTGCTCAAATGTGTACATAAAATCTTGAATATAAATGTTTTTTGTTAACGATCTGTGATGATGTTTGAAAGTGAAACAGTAAGTATAGAATATGAAATACGGCCAACGTGCCAACAATGATATTACATTTGGGGCCATTAGTGCCAACGAAACATAGAGGCGAGAACAAGATGTTGAAATGAGTTGTGAATCCTTTTAATAATAAATACGTTGGGAGTATCGTTTAGTCACCGAGGAAGGGTAGGTCAAAATAACCTAACCCCGAAAGTACACGTGCCGGTGTAGGAGTGATTGAGGGGTAAATCCCCGGGTTAATGTGATGAGGTTGTTTCCCCTTATATGGGATGTGAATAATGTGTTGAGATATTTCTTCTTGAATGGGAGGAGATTATTGCTAGCGAGATGTGATGTGATGTCGACCCATACGGCATTGTGTGAGACGGCTTAGCCGGTCGGGCTGAGATCGGACGCCATGCCGCTCATATGGTGGTATTGTGAGTGGATGTCTCGGGGTGAGACGACTTAGCCGATCGGGCTGAGATCGGACTCCGTACCAAAAATACGGTGGTGTATCGGTGCTAAAAATCTCCCAACTTAAAAAGATTGAAACTTACTTGAAATTTACCTTTCCCCTAACTTGACACCTTGATGCTGTTGAATCTCTTAATGATTTCATGTTTCCTTCTCCATTTACCATTATTCGTTCTAATGAGAGGGTGTTTAGTTTTATATACTAGTATTATTCTATATGTACTAACGTTCCTTTTGCCGGGGGTGCTGCATCTTTAATGGATGCAGGTGGTCCCATAGCAGGTGGTGTTGATCAGTGACAACAACACGTCCTCTCCTCAGCTGACTTGGTGAGCCCCACTCTATTTCGGGGTCCTGTATCTCTTGTCCTTTGTACATAGCATTTTGAGGTATAGCAGGGGGCCTTGTTGCTGGCACTGTCTTAGCACTCTTTTGTTTCTGTTAGAGGCTCCTTAGACATAGTGTGGGTTGTATTTTGTTTTGGGAAGGTTGAACTAAAAAGGTTGTAATCCTATCATCTGTTCCACTTTAACTATGATTGTATAGTGTTATATTTTAGAGACTTGTTAATGATGTAACTTATGGAAATGAACCGGTGTTGTACACATGACCTCTTACCGTCTAATTAATGAAATGTATTCTTCTTTTTATTCATGGGTGAGTTGGGTAGATGACATTGTGTAGGCTTGCTCGACCGGGGTAACTCTGTTGAGCGTCGGTCGGCCCCCTCCCCCCGAGGTCGGGACGTGACAATATATACCTCGATGCTCCTTTACCCCGGTCCTGTTTGGATGAGGATTTTTCGACCTTGAAGTCGTCCGTAATTGAACAGCCCCCGGGAATAAACATTTTCAAGGGGAGCTCGGGAGCCAGTTCGGCGGCAGTCAGATCGGTGGCAGCCACTTCGGGAGCAGCCGTCCCGCGAATAACTATTTCGGGAGTGACCGCCTCAGTACCGGCGACCGGTTGGGAAGATGAAGAGGCAGCCTGCTGAGGGACTGACTTGGAAGTTTTTTCCATTACTATCTGAGAAAATTTGAAGATTTAAGAAAAAGGTATAGAGGTTTGAAGGAACAAGTTTGAAGGCTGAAGAACAGAGTAAGAAGATTCGAAGAAAATCTGGGTAAGAACCTAAGAACAACTATGAGAATTTGAGGATCAAGGATGAAGATATGAATGTTTGAAGGAAGTTGGTGATAGCTAGAGAATTCGAAGGTAGAAGCTTGATCGGAAACCAGCCGACTATTGACACATGTCCGAAGTCAGAACGACGCGACTGATGGGACATTTTGACTTCTTCGTTGTTTCGGTTGTAACGTACGGAGGAAAGAACCAGAGAACATCTATTGTTTCTCATCGTTTCGGCAAACCTACACTCTGAGAAATGAGGGAACTATCTGTATACGGGTAAAACCGAGTTTAATGACACCCCAATTTCTCGATGAGGCAAACAAAGCAAGGACATAACTACAAGGAATCAGAATTGAAGCCAGAAGCCTCTCGTATCAAGAACCGAACAAAGCACTTGCCCTCGGAGCTATCGAGACTACACCCCCAGATCCGGTTCGAGTTCCAAGACCTCAGAAAGTATTACCAAACGACCGCGCACGATTAACAAAGAGCCGTGATATTCGTGTCCAATCGGATATCACGGCATAATTCTCGACCCATATCGGCAACAGATCAGTGATTAGCGAAAATGAAGATTTTTACCTTTCTTAGAATTGTACTTAGGGTAAAACTCTCCTACTATATAAAGGGGAAGCTTATTATTCAATACACATTGTAACACGCATATCAAGGTAATATACATTTATTTTCTTTGCTCCTAAAAGTGATTCAAAGTCCTTAATTTTGCTCATAGTTCATCATAAGTGTTTGAAGGCATGCTAATTGTTAAGCTCATAACTGAGCCCGAACTGAATACTACTACTGGTTTGGCTGTTTATTCTATCTTTAATTTGCTCATCTAACGTTATTAATCACTTGTATTTAATTAGTTCACATATCCTTAAAATCGCGTATAAATTCAATTGTTATCCAATCCTAATCCTAAGGGTAAACAATTAGTTTTTCTTATTGATAGTTGTTTGGATATTTTGCTAGTGAATACACAAATTTTCTTATTTTGTTTGACAGGTTTTATTTCGTATTATAGTGTATTCTTTCTTTTATCAAAACAAAATTAAACTAAAAATACGAAAAAATAGTGATCAAATCCAATCAACTATTATTTTTTTCATTATATGAAACACACAAGTAAGTTAACATGAAAATACTTTTTCGTAACCAATGTATGCATCAAATTAATAAGAGCATGACAAATATCTTTAATAAGATTTATTATTTAATTATGATAAATTAATACTATATACTATATTATTACTTCAATTAATCACTTAATTAAAATAAATTAATATAATTTCATGTATGCATCAAGTCTGAGTTAAATATTCTCATAGTTAACATAACCCAGAAACCAACTAAATGGTTATTCACTTTGCTCAGAACCAAATGCTGGGGCATTGAGGATGGGGTTAATTGACACAAGAAGTAATCAAGGATACAAATTGCTAAGCCTTTAGAAGTGTAAGGGGCTCTAGTGCAATATTTGTAAAAACCCTCTACATTTATGCCTTGCCTTTAGTCCTCAATCTTGCATCTTCCAAAGCTAGGTTCACCAAGTAAAATCGCTATATTGCACTTCACATTTTCACATTAAGCAAATGATGTTATATTGCACTTCACATTTTCATTTGTTTGGGGGTGCAATGAGAGATGCGGAATTCTTTGCAGGTTTTGCTGTCCCAACTGGAAAGGGAAGAGAGCAAAGAAACACCTGGGAACTTTATATAGAGTTTGTAATTGTTGTACTTTAGTTGTAACTTGAATTATGAACAAGATGTAAATATTTGGCAACTTTTTTGGGAAACGTAGGTCCAGATTTTTGCTGTAACACTTGTTTATGCCATAGATGAATGATTTCTAACATGAAAAAAAATAGGGACTTGTGGATATAAGGTTGTCAATGCATTTGACGTATGAATATGACATAGCTATGTCCAAATAGGGTAAAATACATTTCGTATATATATAAAATTGTTGAATTACCTTATATAAGAGAAGTTTGAAGTTTAATGACAAAGGTGGTTAAAAAGTTATTTTACACCATGTGTTCGAATCTTAGGTGTGACATTTTTGCACTATTTTTTGAATTCTCCTATCAGAATTCCTGGTTCCATTGCTAGTTTTTAAGGGAGTACAGCCATTGTGTTGCTAAAAGTGTGTTACTAGACCAAGTCTGAACATCTAGTAGCACTATGAACATCTTACCTGTAGTTGGAATTGAACTGATTTCTTACCCAAAAGGCCGAGAAAGGTATATCAACATTTCTGCTGGGAATTTGAGGATAGTGAGTTTTTTTTTCCTGGATGTAGTGTACTCTAACTCGTATATTAATTTTGTTTGTTTCCTTTTCTCCTTTCACTACTAAAGCATGTGTAGACATTTTCCTCCCAATCTTGTAGTGATCATCAGCCATTGACATGTCTTTTTTCTAACTGTGGTATCTGTGTCAGCTGGTGTGTACCTCGATTAATTCCACAAGTACTTGTTATTTTTCACCAGCCATATTTCGGGTAACTCTATCCCAAGGCTTGAACAAATAAGAAGAAATCACTTAGGGATCGTTTGGTTGGGAAACAAATTATCTCATGATTAATTATTCCGGATTTAATTATCTCATTCTCCCATAGGGATAAAAAATACTACAATCCCGGGATAACTAACCCCGAGATTAGTTATACCACGATTTTATCCATAAGATAAACTCATCTCAAATTTAATTCCGGGATTAATTATCCTGGGATTATTATCCCACCCTCCCATAAGGATAAAAATAACACTACAATCCAGGATTAGTTATACCGCTATTTTATCCTAACCAAACATGAGATAAACTCATCTCAAATTTAATCTCGAGATTAATTATCCCTTATCTCTCGTATCAAATGAGTCCTTAGTGTTTTTGACCTCGCAAGGATTTGAGCTTGAAACCTCATATTGTTCTCAACCCACTTCATTGAATACTAGGCCACACCCTTGGGTGCAAAATGGAAAGAAGCAACATCAGCCATTGACATGCCTTGAGAGTAATGTAGTCGTACATGCTTTAAGGTTGTGTACAGGCTCAATCAAGCCAATAAAGTAGGTAAATGGAATATTCAGTGAAATTGACCAATCTATTTCAGTTTTCATGTTCATAAATGTCTATTGCCGAGGTACTTAAGCCGATAGAGTAGGTAAACAAGATAAAATAAAGAGATGGACAAAGAATGAACAAGATAAACAGAGCTTTGAATCAGTTCAACAGAGAAATTGAATGAACGTCAGAAGAAACTTCCGCTTCAAAACATGTCAAAAATAATGCAATATTTCTTCACATATTTCTCTACAAAAAATGTCCTCACAGAAAATAAAATACTTGAATCTTTTATATCCAAACCTAAGAATAAGTGCAGTATTATAATCTCTACATGTTCTCTCAATAACCCCAGCACTCCACCAAGCTGCAAAATGGGGGATTTGGAGGAGCCTCAAATTCAAGTGTAACAATCTGCAATTTATGAGGAATTAATGAGGTTGTATCTAAAGAAGACATCATGATATAAAAGAGATGGAAACTGAAGCCTAGCAGGTAGTCAACACTTCGCTTTATTGTTCAGACTACTTATGTAGATTAAGTGAGAATCATTGTATTATTTTACACCAGGAAAAAAATGGTGAAATGGGAATGTGTACTAGCATACGAGAATAAGATAATTCTTGGCTTTAATATCACAACAATCCCGTATTATTGTTCACCGCATAACAATCAAGTATTGTTATTCACCATAAGATCCATGTAATATAATCTACATAAGTAGTCTGAACAAAACGATCCACAAGTTTCCATCACATCCAAGTATACGTACAGACGAGTTTAGTTTAAACTAGTGATATCACTGTACCCACTATTCTTTTGTAACTATAGATATGAACATATAAATTGAAGCCAAACGTAGTGGCTGCACCCGCATATTCTGTTACAGAGCTACATCCACATGTAACCTAATCCATGGAACACCATAAGGAAACAGAGCAACTTTACCTTAAGAGTATCAGAATCCAAAAGGATTTTCCTATCTACACTAAGGAGTTGGGAAAGAACGGGGGAGGCAAAAAGTTTGCAGTATAGAGCTGCCATATTTCTAGATGATTAATACTGTTATATCCATGTTCAGATATAAACATATTCCAACGCTTTCCAAATTGGACTTCAGAAGACTTACAGAAGGGACCAAAGTTGAATTCTTAAAACTTTCTAATTTAGACACTCACCATATGATAGGTAAAAAGGATAGACAAAAAGCTAAACATCTTCATTCTGCGACAAGGAAAGCACTTTTGGGGGCAGACAGTACTCTTTTGGATGGTTTAACGCGATTAGCAGACTACATCGTGCTCAATCAAATAATGGACACTGACTACGATTTGGATTGTCTCCCCGGCTCAATGGAAAGACAACCCAGTTCTACACTTCATCAAGACGAAAATCATGCCTTGTCTATTCCTCCAAATACCATTTGCCTTTCCCACAGCCAACCAGCAAAACGACGAATTCAACCGCAAATACTCTTTAGCTAGCACATGCTAAAAAGACAGAGCCCACTACCATCCCACCGGCCACCACCTAATAAGGGTTTCTGCAAAAATGACACTCATGCATAGGTATGTTAGCTGTCACTGCTAGTAGAACCATGATCTGCAGAACACAGCACCACCCCGAAAAGGATTTAGACAAAAATGAACACACAGGTATTTTAGCTATCAATGCTTCCAAGTATATTGTTTTTTATTGATAAGGATCAAATCTTCCAAGTATTACCCTTTTAAAAGTGTTCTATACAACTCTCCCAGACCCCACTGGTGGGAATATACTGGGTTTGTTGTTGTCTATACGACTCTCACAGATATCATGCCCATTCGCTGGATATTTAACGGTAATGGGATGTTTTTACCTTTATATCAACTTTTTCAAACAACAGTTCGATATTTTCTTCTATAACAAATATAATAGACAATTCATTTCTACTTCAGTCTCTATGCCTTGCTGAAGCCATGCCATATAATAGGTACCCATAAAATTAGTTTCTGAACAAAAACTACATAAGAAAAGGCCACCTAATTTAACCATCACGGGAAAACATAAGGTAAAACCAAATAATGTAGTAAAATCTCTTTAAAGATGGGGAGTATAAGATACCGGCATATCCAGGTCATACTAAATTCCAGTTGACCTGATCAACTGCCTCCCTTCTGCTTGAGTGTTATCTTGTCCCCCAAGCTAAGCGCAATTCCTTGCGTTTTGCTCCTTATCCTAATATAACCACTCAGCTTACCATCTGCTTGTTTCTCAATGCTTACATTCACCAAAGCATCCTCACCAAACACACTCTTTGCATACAAGTTAGCAGCAAGGAACCCGCATTGCCCTTCCAATGCAGACCTGAAATTTTGCATGAAAGCACATCCAGAGATATAGTGTCAATAAAGCCATGCATCACAAGGACAAATGACATTACTCAATATAACCAGATAAGTAACAGAAAAAAATGAACCCGAAGGCCATTCTGGAGTTTGAAGCCATTAATTTAAAAAATTCATTTTAAGCAGTTAAATTACATCCAACAGTGAAAGAAAACAATGGTACAAAGAAGAAACTAAACTCCAGTTCCAGTAACAACAAACTACTTATTTCCCCTAGATACATAACTAGTATGATCCAACCTGGTCAAGTTTACCAATTTTCCCTTGATAAAGTAACATGTGTTATCCAACTCAAGATTCTTTCACAATTTCTGAATATACCAATACCAAACTATCATTTGGAAAGCTCCGAGATCTTAACAGTAGCCGTTTTAGCAACTATGAAACCAATGGCCCTAATATCCTAAAGGAGGCGAAGAAGAGTACTCCTAAACAAATCTAATCCCAGCCATACGCAAACACCATGATAGACATGAAGAGTCATTCAAGTACTTCCACATTTGCACACAAGTAGACTTAAAAAGAAAATGAAACCCAGACACTTGTTTTTATGTGTACACATTCTTTGTATCCGTAATGGAAAATAATAAACACTAAGTTAAACACAACTTGTTTCTCATCAATAATGAAGTTCTAAGTTTATACGGCAGAATAATCCTAGGGCTGCAGGTCTTGTTACGACAGATAATACCTTACTTTTTTTTTACTAATAGTCTCTAAAATTCTTCCAAAACAAGTTCTCTGTATCACAACTTTGGACTATGAAAAATAGGAAATGCAATAATCTAGAATTAGATGGTATGGGTATCAATCATGACAAAATCAAAAATTAGAAAACACAGACATAAAAACCAAGCAACAACCGTCCATATTTAGAGGAGGCAAGCGGATAACTTACAGTGCAGTAAGGCATTTCATGTTGGTTGATTTGATTATATGGTCAAGAAATTCTTTTTCCTCTTGAATGACAGTGTTGACAGCAACCTGCAATGCAGAAAGTTAGTGGCTCATTCTTAAGTGCATATAAATATTATTCGTGTGGACATTGCTCCACAACTTTGATGGTAAGACAAACAAGAGATTACTTCAAAGTTTAGAGACTAAACAGTGCATTGATTAATCAATAAACTCCATAAATGGATCAACATTTACAAAATTAGCTTGAGAACTAGATCACTTTCAAGCCATTAATAATCTACAGAAGTTTTAGTAAACCCACGCATAACCTAACTTTTGATCCCACATAAACCAAACCATAAGATTGTAAATCATCGAAAACAACAAAGAACGACTATACCAAATATTAATTTTCATTTCTCCAACAAAAAATGAGTAGAATACCAGGAAAGAACTATTCACTGATGGTAAAATAGCAAGGAACAGCATCTTACCTTGTTTTCCCACTCAAATTCTGCCCACATGGTTCTAAAAGCAGCATCACTGCACACTGCAGGAGAGATGTAATCCATGATGTCAATATGGATATCGTTTAGCACAACCACTGTCCGCTCAAGCACATTAGAACTCTCATAAACAATGTTCCCAAAAATGACGCCAGTCTCAGTTGAAGACACCTTGATGTTTGCTTTTATCTGTTTGCTTGACTCAGGAGCAAGAGTATAATTCTGTGGACGCTCAACAAGTTTGAGATCACCCATTGTTGCCAATTCCAAACATAAATTCTGGAGGGTCTCTTTAGTTCTATTAATAACTGTCACATCCAGGACAATATCATAATGATGAACTGTCACGTATGCTTCAGCATAAACAGGATCACTAAATCCCGTGAGTTGCAGAACCCGATTTAGTCTATTAGCATCATTCTCATCCTTGACAAATTCTCCAGTGGCACGTTTCAAATCATCGTGAACTGCATCTTCCAACTCCAGCTGGCTCATGCCCTGGCAAACAGAAATGTATTTAGGACATGGAGGAACAAATTTCAACTGCATTGAAATTTGAAGCACCAAAAAGCCAAACACCACCTATAACTAGACGAGCTCTGGCATTATGTAGAAACTACTCGAGAAACATATATTAAAGAAAGAAAAAGAAACAATTCAAATGCTAACATTTGAGCTGTTGGTACATCATCAACCNTGCTGATGGATCCTGCTCCGTGGTAAGGACGTTCTCAATCTTCTCTGGTGCATCTGCCACGAGCTGCTCACCCTGTGGAAGCTTGTAAACAGCCATGACAGCAAGAATTGCATTTCTCCTCACGTACGGATGTCGGTGCTCCAAGTTGCTCATAATAGATGGAATCAAAGGTTCAATTATATCAACCTCATTCAGCCGACAAAGGAATCTCAAAGTAACTCCACGAATGTACTCATTTGGATGCTGCAAGTTATTCCTCAGGTTCTGACAAATTAGGACCATTTCAGGCAGCACACTTCCCTTAGAATCGGTCTTCTCAATAGTCTCCAGATACAGAACCAGCAGCTTTTGAATCGTGTGATCCTCAGAGGGCAAGACATATCTAATAATAGTAATAAACAGCTGGGGTAGTGTTTCGCCATTCAACAAAAGCATGACGGCCTTCTTCATGGCATCAACCTTGGCAGGAACATCATTCCCTTCGAGGGCTTCCTTGATCTCATTGGCAAGAGCTGGTGTGCCCTTATCAAAGTGTATCAGCAAAGAACAGGACTTCTCCATTTTATTCTAGTTGCTTACCTGAAACTTAAAGTTTCCCATAAGCTTCAAGATAACATATTATAACTTTGAGTCTTTGACAAGAGAGAATAAAGTTGCAAAGGTCAGAAAAGAGTCCAACTTTTGTTTAGTCGAAGCATTTAAATTACTCTAAGGCAGTTCTATATAAGGAACTACTCAACAATGATTCTTTGATTATAAAAGAATAAAGCCATTCAGAAAAGGGATTGAAACCACAAAGCTATCCAAAAGACAGGAAAGAACGCATTATTGAAAAAAAAAAAAAAAAAATTACCCAGGGGTGTGGCCCAGTGGAAGGAGAACAATGAGGTCTCAGGTTTAAATCTCAACGGAGGCAAAAAATATACTACCTAAGCCTTGGTGGACAGAGTTACACGGTCCCTGTGCTAGTGGGAGGTAGCAGGCACCCGGTGGACTACTCGAGGTGCAGGGAAGCTGGCTCAGAAACCACCGTCATTAAAAATTAAACTTTTAACAAAATTTGTTAGATTCATAATAAATGTTACCAGCAGAACGAGGGAGGTACAGCGGTATTAGATCACCACAGCCTAGTACCAGATTAAACTCTTCCACAAGTCACATCAATACTCAAATCACACTGCAGGGACGGAAACGCATGGAAAATGTGATCAACCAATCAATCAATCAATCAATCAACAATGCCCAATTCCAAATTAGATGGAGTAACGCTATTTGAATCGGGCAAACAGCGAGTTCTATGCATCGGCATCAAGCTAAATGATACAAGTGAACCATCCATCACTTATAATCAACTTGACTTGCGAATTAATCCAAAAATTAATCAAAATCATTAATGCTCAGCTCAGATAGGCGGATCTAACCAGTAGCGGACGCACGTGATGGCAAGTGGGTTCAACTGAACCCGCTTCATCAAAAATAATATTGTGTATATGTATAAATTAGGATTAAAGTTGCGTAAATTTTGTATAAATATTTTATTTGAACCCACTTGACAACTAGTATTTTACGACTAAAGTTATGTACTTGAACCCGCTTGCACAAAATCTTGGGTCTGCCACTGTCATCTAACCCTTCCCAAAAAGTTTGGTTCTGAGCCCTCTGCTTTTAACTTGGATCATGTATACATTTTCAATAAAAACACATATATAAAAATGTGCAAATATGATACTAGTATACTACTTCTGAATCTACTGACTCTGAATCGTAAACCAAATAGTGCGGTTCGGCAGCATAATTCAACAAAACAAATAGCCCTAACAATCAAATTCCGTAAAATAAAACAGATAACAGATCTAGGATGAGAAAAAAATGACTTACCGGATAGAAATGCAGAAATGGTTGAATCGAAGTGAATCTTCAGAAGAGAATTCGGTAATGAGGAATTTGTGGGTTTTGAGGGTAAGGTGAGAGAAGGGGAGTCGGGAGAAATGGTGATCGGAGGGTGTGTGGTTTTAAGGAGGGAGAAATTTGGTGTCTTTTCTCAGATCTGAGAGATCCGCAGAGTGAGTCTGGTATTTTGTATGCTATAACGAGTCTGGAGCAAAGCTTAAAAACTAAGAAAAACAATAAAATAAAAAAAGATTAGCTAATTAAAAACAAGAAAAAGAGGAGAAATATTACTCCTATTACGTAATTTAATTAGCCTCACATAAAATACAAAAATATGTATCACTTCTCATTATCGTTTTTCTGCATAATTTACACTTTTGAAATATAGAGTCCAGTAGGCGGATCTAGGATTTAAAGTTTGTGGATTTTTATAGCAACCTTAAATAAATATACAATAAATAACTTGATTCACAATCAAATATTTATAGATATTTAGTAGATTTTTTAATACATATACAAACAGAGACGTATCAAAGTAGAGGGACAATATTATATTTCTTCAAAACTACTTAAATATATGTGCGTGAATACATGTTCAAAAACTCTTATGATGTAAATATTTTTAGGTGCACTACATGTGAAATTGGCAGTTCAAATCCCACTATGAATGGTCTTGTTTTCGGCACGAAGTATAGATATATATATGTGAAAATGATTAAAATTTTAAAAAGAGTATAATTTTGAACCTAGAATTTTAAAAGTATAGTGGGTTCATGGTAAAAGACTAAACTTAAACCCGTCAAATGTAAATTTATCACGATCCCAAATTCCCTCCGTAGGAGGTCGTGATGGCACATAGCCTCTAAGACTAGGTAAGCCTATCAATGCGGATTGATCATAAATATCTGAAATAAATAAACTACAATTCAAATAATTACAACTCCCAAAACCCGATAGAAATAAGTCACAAGCTTTTAAGAATTTATCCTCAATATCTCTATATAACAGAGTCTAAGAAAATAAGGAAGCAACATAACAAGAATAGAAGGGGACTCCGGAGTCTGCGGACGCTGGCAGATATACCTCGAAATCTCCGTACACAGGTACTCATTGATGTCTGGGCTGGTAAAAAGTACCTGAATCTGTACAAAAAGATGTGCAGAAGCGTAGTATGAGTACACCACAGCGGTACCCAGTAAGTGCCAAGCCTAACCTCGGTAGAGTAGTGACGAGGTCAGGTCAGGCTCTACTAAAAATTAATAATAAATGACATGATAAAATGTTTCACAATATAATAAAATAAAATGAAAATGGAAATGAATCAAGTAGTATGTCACCATTTAATTACACAAATAATGACAAATAATACCTTGTGGAACAAAACAAAATTTTTTTTCAACTTTAAGAAAAATCACAATAAAATCAAAGGCAACTACGGCCATAAATCAACATCAATAAGGACACTCCCGAGGTACCGCCTCGTAGTCCCAAATCATAAATAAATTCACAATATCCCATTTTCTTATCTCACTGCGGGAGCCTTCACAATTTATTTTAAAGAAAATATTTTTCCCGAAATAGCATCCCGCATTTTAGCCATCCTTATCACACCGCATGACTTCTAGTAGTTCCCCCTACTAGCCACGCGTATCAAACCACCCTTATCTCACCGCATGCGTTTCAATACCCAGACCTTATACCACCGCATGCGTATCAATATCACAATATATCACAATTTGCACCTCAAGTGCTCAAATAATTTAATTTGCCAAAATAATTCAACAACAATATTTTCCACAATAAAGAGCTCACGGCTCCATCACAATGAGTACGAAAATCTTACAAAAATATTCAGGAATAAATAATTCAGCAAAATAATATTTTAAAATCTTTAATATGTTCCTTCAATACCAAATTTAAAATGTCAAATACTTCATAGTAATAATATTTATTTTAAAGAAAATCAACCTTCAAATAATGCACAGAATAAAAGAAACCAAGTTCCAACTAAACAAGTAAACCAATTAGAAGAAAAAAGGCCAAGCAAATTTAAATTATATAAATCAAATCAATGATGGAGAATATAACAAGATTTTATAATTTAATTAATATGAAACATTGATTTACACAATTTAAAAATATAATTCTTCACATTTAACCCGTGTACACACTCGTCACCTCGTGTACACGACTTTCATCACATTACAATTAATATTAATCCTAGGTAAAATTTTCCCCACACAAGGTTAGATAAGTCACTTACCTCGACTTGCTCCAATTTAATCAAGTAATATGCCTTTTCCTCGATTTTTCGACTCCGATCTACTCGAATCTAATCATAATTAATTCAATACAGTCAACAAAAATTAAAGGAATCAATTTCATAAGAAAATACTATATTTTTCAATAAAATTCGAAATTAACTCAAAAATTGCCCATGGGGCCCACGTCTCAGAATCCGGCGAAACTTACAAAATCCGATAACACATTCAATTATGAGTCCAACCATACCAGTTTCACTCAAATCCGATTCTGAATCGACATCGAAATCTTAAAAAATTCGTTTCTATGTGATTTCTAAAAAATTTCCAAATTTCAATCTCAAAACACTAATTAAATGCTGAAAACAATGATGTATTTGTGTATATAGACCAAATCCGAGTTAGAATCACTTACCCCAAGGTCTTTCCTTGAAAATCTATCAAAAATCGCGTCTACTCAAGCTCCAGTTTGTTAAAAATGGCGAATGGGACGAGTGTCCTCTTTTATAAATCTGCCCAGGCAGCCTTCGGAACTGGGCCTTGATCGTAGCTTCAATCATGGACCTCGAGCCTAGGCCTCGATCGTGGCTCCGATCACAGGCTCGAGGTTGGGCCTTCGATCATGGCATCGAGGCTGGGCCTTCGATCATGGCATCGAGGCTGGGCCTTCGATCATGGCCTCGATCATGGCATCGATCCTGAGCCTCGTCTCTGGCTTCGACCTTGGCCGTCGACCCTGGGCTCGATATCTGGGCTCGATCACAGCCCAGAATATCCAGTAGAAGATGAAAATTGCAGCAGCTTTTTAAGTTCAATTATTTGATCCGTTAACCATCCGAAACTCACCTGAGGCCCTCGGGACCTCAACCAAATATACCAACAAGTCCCAAGACATTATACGAACTTATTTGAAACCTCAAATAACATAAAACGATGCTAAAATCGTGAATCATGCTCCAATTCAAGCTTAATGAAACTTAGAATTTCCAACTTCTACATTCGATGTCGAAACATATCAAATCAAGTCCGATTGACCTCAAATTTTGCACACAAGTTATAAATGACATAACAGAGCTATAAAAAATTTTGAAACTGGATTTCGACCCCGATATCAAAAAGTCAACTCCCCGGTTAAACTTCCAAACTTAAATTCTTATTTTAGCCATTTCAAGCCAAATTTCACTACGGACTTCCAAATAAAATTCCGATCACGCTCCTAAGTCCAAAATCACATACGGAGCTGTTGGAATCATCAAAATTCTATTCCGGGGTCGTTTGCACATAATTCGACATCTAGTCACTATTTGAACTTAAACTTTTAATTTTTCATCAAAATTCCATATCTCAGACTAGGGACCTCGGAATTTGATTCTGGGCATGCTCCCAAGTTTCAAATCACGATACGGACCTACCGAAATTGTCAAAATACTGATCCGAGTCCGTTTGCTCAAAATATTGACCAAAGTCAACTCAATTGAGTTTTAAGCTCTAATTCACATTTTAATATATTTTTCACATAAAAACTTTTCAGAAAATTTTACGGACTGCGCACGCAAGTCGAGTAATGATAAATAGTGCTTTTTAGGGTCTTAAAATACAGAATTAATTATTAACTTTAAAGATGACATTTTGGGTTATCATATTCTCCACCTCTAAAACAAACGTTAGTCCTCGAACGGAGTTAGAAAAAGTACCTGAGCTGGTGAATAAGTGTGGATAACAGCTGCGCATATCATGCTCGGTCTCCCAAGTTGCCTCCTCAACCAGATGGCCCCTCCACTGAACCTTCACGGAAGCAATGCCCTTTGACCTCAACTTTCGAACATGCCTATCTAAAATAGCCACTGGTTCCTCAACATAAGATAGATCCTTGTCCAACTGAACAGAACTGAACCGAACTGAAGTCTAACACATGAGATGGATCGCTGTGATATTTCTGAAGCATAGAAATATGGAATACTGGATGAACTGCAGAGAGACTAGGTGGTAGTGCAAGTTTGTAAGCCATCTCTCCAACTCTCTCAAGAATCTCAAAAGGTCCAATATACCTAGGGCTCAACTTGCCCTTCTTCCTGAACCCTATCACCCCCTTTATAGGTGAAACCCAGAGCAAGACCCGCTCACCAACCATGAATGCAACATCACGAACCTTCCGATCCGCATAACTCTTCTGTCTAGATTGGGCTGTATGAAGTCGATCCTGAATCAATTTAACCTATCCAAGGCATCTTGAACCAAATCTTTACCCAATAGTCTAGCCTCGCCCGGTTCGAACCAACCCACTGGAGACCGGCACTGCCTACCATACAACTCCTCATACGGAGCCATCTGAATGCTCGACTGATAACTGTTATTGTAAGCAAACTCTGTAGGTGGTAAGAACTGATCCCAAGCACCCCCAAAATCTATCACACACGCACGAAAGAATATCCTCTAGTATCTGAATAGTGCGTTCGGACTGCCCATCCGTCTGAGGGTGAAATGATGTACTCAACTCCACACGAGTAGCCAACGCTCGCTGTATAGCCCTCCAAAACTGTGAGGTAAACTGTGTACCCCGGTCAGAGATGATAGATACTGGTACACCGTAAAGTCTAACAATCTCGCAAATATATACCTGAGCCAGCTGCTCTGAAGAGTAAGTAGTAATCACAAGAATGAAATGAGATGACTTGGTCAATCTATCCACAATCACCCAAACTGCATCTAACTTCCGATGAGTCCGTGGAAGTCCAACAATGAAGTCCATAGTGATTCGCTCCCATTTTCACTCCGAAATCTCTAACTTTTGAAACAACCCACCTGGCCGTTGATACTCATACTTCACCTACTGACAATTTAGGCACCGAGCTACATATTCCACTATGTCTTTCTTCATCCTCCTCCACTAGTAATGTTGCCTCAAGTCCTGATATATTTTTGCAGCACCCGGATGAATGGAGTA